TGCAGCTGGGCCAGCTGGATCAACATTTATTCTTCTGCAAGTGGGTAGAAATGCACTTGTTCACAGCTTTCCAGACAGCCCATTGGTGCTCATAGACACTGCTCATGGGCTTCATGGGCCCTGGTGCTCTGGTCCCCAAATATCTCATTTGCTGGGTTCCTATTCCTGGTGAGGACAGTGGCCTGGCCACCCCTGTGATGCTGGACGTCCCTCCTCAGGACATCAGACACCCTTTTATTTTTTAATTTTTTTCCTTTCTATTTTTAGAATAGGGTCTACAGGGTCTCACTGAGTAGATCAGACTCATAGTGATTCTCCTGTTTCCAGCCTCCCAAGCTCTGGGATTACAGGCATGCACCACCACACCCAGTCTCTTCAGACACCCATTCAACATGCCCTTTATACCATGTGTTATGATCATGTCTGGGTGTCCCCCCACAGCCTCACATGGTCATAGGGCTTTTCAGAGGTGGCTGGATCTAGGGTGTGGGTTGAGAGTGTGACTCTGGGGTCAAGGGTGAGTGATTACCAAGTCAGTCCACTGGTCTGGCATACTTTTGGGTATGGATAATGGGAAGGAAGGAATACTCTTATAAATTCCAATGGCCTAGTTTCCTTCTAAAACTCAGACATTGGAGTGATATTGGGCAGTGGGGCTCTTGGAGGTGTTCAGTTGTGAAGACAGTTGATGCCTTCCTCAGGTGAGAGTGGTCTATTAGGAGGCTGGTCCAGCTCCTCTTGTTACCTCTTCCATGTACACTGGATTGTCCCTGTGCTTTCTCATGCTGTCTTGATGGAGCATGAAGCCTTCATCACAGTCAGCTGCCAGATTTTAGACTTTCTAACCTCAAGAGCCAAGATCCAAGTAAACCTCTTTTCTTTAGAGTACCAGCCTCAGGCATTTCATTATAGCAACAGAAAACAGACCAATAGAGACACACTGGGGACCGCCGACTATCTCAGGACAGGGATGGGAGGCTGCCTGTCTTTACAGGAGTGGAGAAGAATTGGTACCTGAATTAGGTTCCCAGGAGTTATGCTTCTTCTATTTTGCTTTGTTGAGACAGCAGTGCTTGGACTATGGGACAGAATCCTGAAATGGAGTCAGGCTCTGGGAAACAGAAAGCCGGAGAAATGGGGTGTTCTACTCAGCAATCTGAAAGGGAACAGACAGATTTCCTTGATGTTTCCTGTAACTCCGACTATGCCATCCATCTCTGTACCTATACTCTTTTCATGCTTTTTTCAGTCTAAAGAAAAGCCATATGGCTACAAGCGCAAGTGTGAGTAATCCCCACCCACTCCCCAGGGAACCAGTAGGTGGACCAAATGGAGCCCTTGTTTAGCATGGAGGAGGACCTGGGTCTTGAGCCCTAACACTTGAAAATGTAACACAGCAAAACCCATAAAATAATTCTATGGAAAGCTGCCTGGCCTTAATGTTGGAGTTTCACAGTTTGCAGACAGTCTGCAGGCCACTGTCCATTAGGGACCACAGTTGGTCCAGGAGAGCGTGGTCTCGGTGGTGGTCTTAATGACTGACAGGTCTGTTGGGGCAGGGAGAATAGGTGACCTGGAAACGACGTGGGACCCAGTCTGAGTAGTTCATTGGTTTCCATCACTCAGTTTGGGTCTGGGATGGGAACTTCCCCCATGTCCTCATTCTGGAAACAGGGAGAAGAAGGGCTATCATTTTTTCTGTTTCCTCCCTTTCAGATTCTCTACCAAGGCCTTGACCACTTGAACCTGGTTTCTCAGAGTGAAAGGCACTGTGACAGCAGACCTGTGGGGCCAAATGTCCATGGGAACATGGTGAGAGAAGGAAGGAGGCACAGAGAGCTAGGAAAGAGGGCAGCACTCTTAGTGGTGATGGCTGTGGACAGTAAGAAAGACTGCACGGGCTCTGTGGCTTCATGACATCTTGCGATCAGTCCTGAAGAGATAAGAGTGCTGCTCCATCCTTATCTTAGAAAAGAGCCCAATGCTCTGCCGTCTCTCAGCTCTGACCTTTCCATCTCCCTCCCTGCCACCCACCTCACCTCAGCCCCCTTTGCCTGGCTGAGACTGACTTAATGTCCCCCCTTTTCTGCATTTTCACAGTGCTGACAATTCTATCACTCCTCTTACCACTTGTTCTACAGTTAGGTGTTGACACGGAGCAGTGGCTGGCCGCATTCAGCCCATCCCTGGCCCTGGCATATAGCAGTGTTCACTGATAGTGCATGAACAACTGTCCATTGTGACACCTGGCCATCATCAGGGTCTCACAAACAGCTGTGTGGTGAAGAGGCAAGGTCTGTCTTCCTGCACAGGCCACAGGTAAGAAAATTAATATGTTGATGACATTTGGAGGTGACATTTTGGGGAGGAAATTATGGCTGGATAAGACCTGGAGGTGGAGTCCCAGGGATGGGGTCTATGGGCTCAGAAGAAGAGGAGAACACACCTGTGTTTGCAGGTTCCTTGAGGTGCCTGCTGCCATTAAATACAGTGAAATGGCCTTGCCAGATGGGGCGCCATGGTCTCAGACTTCATAGCCTCCAGAACTCTAAGAAACACATTTATTTTCCCCGTAAGCCACCCAGTGTCAGGTTAGTCTGTATTGGTCAGGGTTTTACTTAGAGGAACAGATATAAGGAACAGATATTAACACAAGATATACAATATATAAGGAATTACAAAGTTGACTTAGGACAGGCAGCCACAGCTTCAGATGAGGGAGTGTGCAGAGGGACTGAAGAAATCAGTCCCAAGGTCTGAAGCTCACTGCTGTGCTCTGTGCAAGTCTCTATGCGTCAGCTAATGGGTCTGTGATGGAAGACAAGAGTCTGTGATGGACTCTGCGGAGTCTGGGATGGAAGGCAAAGGAGCCAAGCTGGAGGCTGAAGAGTCTGCGCTGCAAGCCAGGTGAGGAAGTCCAAGCGCAGCGTGAAGACTGAAGTTCCTCGGACAAAGTGGAACATCGGCTACTTCCTCAGCCCCTTTATACAGTCTCTTTGTACTGAGTCACTCTGGGGTGGAACCAATTGTGCTGCAGGGTGGGACTCCAGAGTCATCCCAAGTTGACACAATGTATCAACCACTACATAATCCATTTCTGCAGCAACAAAATGGACTAAGGTATGACCACCTTCCCAGAATGGAATCTATTATGTAATCAAGTAGTCTCATTAATTAGTTACCAATCCAAAAAAATTGTAGTAACCCGAGCCTGAGGCAAGAGAACCCTGAATTGGAGGCCAGCCTGGACTATACATGTAGTGACAATCTGTCCATAAATAACTAAATAAATAACTAATATAACATGAAATTGACCATTTTAACACATAGTTCAGCGGCATTAACTACATCCACATTGACTGCAACCATCTCTAATGCCTGTTTGCAGAACTCTTCACCTGGACCTAGGGCCCATGAGACAGTAGCTCCCTGCTACCTCTTCACCAGTCCCCAGCAACCAGCTGCGCTTCCTGAGCCTGTGCGCTCCACTCTC